ATAGACTATAGCCCACTAGGCTCCTCTGTCCATGGGGATTCTCCAGGCAAGAATACTGGAGTGAATGGATTGCCATGCCCTCCTCCAGGGTTCGTGACTCTAAGGATGACACTAATCTGGTTCATGAGCCCCACCTCCTGATACCATCATACTGAGGAGAGGGTCTCAACATTAATTTAGGGGGAAACACAAAACATTCAGTTCATAACATTCCATCTTGGCTCCTCCAAACTGATGTCCTTCTCACATGAAAATAAGTTCATTCCATCCCAACAGCCTTAACTTGTTCCAGTATCACCTCTAAGGTCCTAAGTCTCATCTAACTATCAACTAAATCAGGTATGAATAAGACTCAGAGTACATTCATCCTAAGGTAAAATTCCTCTCTAGCTGTGAACCTGTGAGACCAAACAAGTTAACCAAGCAAGTGCTTTGGGGATGTTTAGATGAAATGGATATATTGCGCATATGAGAACGGCGTGGATTTGGGGGCTTTGGGGGAGAATGTCAGAGACTGGATGTTCGTATACCTCCAAAATTCATATTTGAAACTTTCTCCTCTGATGTGATGGTGTTAGGAGGTGAGGCCTTTGGGAGGTAATTAGGATTAGATGAGGTCATAAAGACGGGATTAGTTCCCTAATAAGGGTCAAAAGAGAGCTACTTCTTTGCTCTCTCTCCACTGTGTGAGGACACAAGGAAAAGCCAACAGTCTTCAGTCTGGAAGAGGGCTCTCAGGAGAACTCAACCATGCTGGCACCCTGATCTTGGATTTATAGTCTCTGGGATTGTGAGAAATAAATTTCTGTAGTTTATAAGCCACCCAGTCAGTCTATGGTACTTTGTTATAGCAGCCCCAGCTGACGAAGACAGATACTGATGCTGAGAATGGAGTACTGCTATAACAAATACCTACAAATATGACTGTGGTTTTGGAACTGGGAAATGGGTTGAAGCTGTGAGGTTTTTTTTGTTTTTTTTTTTTTTAAATTTTTTATTGAAATGTGTTTGTTTGTGTATGTGTATTCTGTTTTAGATTCTTTTCCTTTATAGGTTATTGCATAACATTGAGTTTAGTTCCCTGTGCTATGCAGTAGGTCCTTGTTGGTTATCTATTAAAAAAAATTTATTGGAGTATAATTGATTTACAGTCTTGTGTAGCTTCTGCAGTACCACATAGTGAATCAATTATACATGTAAGAGTTTTGAAGTTCATGCTAGAATAAGCCTACATTGCTGTGACTGGGCTATCAGACACTGCTTTTTAAAAAATGGATAAATTAAGAAGATGCAAAGAAGTTATTTCTTTGAGCCTAAACATGAGCAAAATATATGATATTCAATCATGTAGTTTATCTTGCAGTAATAATTGATCTATAATCGCCAAAATTAAATTTATGAGAATTATTATTTTTGTTACTAATATTTTAGGATAAAATTATGCACAAATACAAGTCAATTTTATGGAAAGACAGACTTTGCTTACTGTTTTCTTAATATTAAAAGTATTTCACTGGGGCTAATTTAGTATGAGGAGAAAAGTTTAAAAATTTTGGAAAAACAGTTTGTCATACAAACATCAGCATTTCTTTTGGCAAGTGTTCTGAATAGAGATAATTAGCATACAAATATCTTATCTCAGCCCTAGTTTATCTAGTGTGGTATTTCATGTTTGTTTTCTTTTCTATCTATGTCTCTGGAGATGTCCCATATTAAAAGGTTATGAATAATAATAGGACTCGTGACTTAGAGTTAAATCTATAATTTCCATTAATACCAAAACTCAAATTTTCTCATCATTCATCTACATCCTCTTTATAAACAATTTATAATATTGAGAACTGTTCTTTGCTTCATTTATTTGAATTTTAAAGTGCAATTTATTAGTTCCCATGCAGACTTTCGAGCCAAGACAAAATGTAATTAGTATTCTGATCTGTGAAATAGGATTTTCCTCAGTTGTTAATTGGGAAATTGGCATTTGGGTTTAAATATTAGATTCTCTCTATTTAAATACCTGTGGCCCTGTTCCCAAGAGGGTGACTAGTCAGGGCCCACTCACCAAATCCAGTCTCTGAGTTTACACTGGGGCTAGACCTGGGTTTTGGTGACATTCCCAGGCACTGTCATCCTACAAGATTCTGCCTACTGACATTTCTAACTCTTGCCTGCAAATTGCAAAATACATTCTTCTTGTTTACAATGAACATCAAACAGTACAACTCTATTCCAAACCCAGAAGATTTCTGATCTGTAACTTTACATTGAACCTCAGTCCTCATGGAGCTACATGTGTTTTTACATTTCTCTTTTTTCTTTTGCTAAGAGAAATACACCATAGAAATTAAATAGAGGAAGGATAACTTTGGACTGGAATGTTCTCTCAAATCCAGCCAATAAAGTATATTTTACATTTTTCTTTAAATTGTTGTTTTCTTCTCCCTGCTTTTTTAAAAGAGAGCTTACTCTGAGCTTCCTTACTCAGAAGAGTACAGGGAGCCAAGGAAGATTCATGAGGGGATAATCAGACTCCTCTTCAATGAAGTGAAAAGCTTGATTTTGCCACTCCATTATTATCCTGGAAGTTTTGAAATGATCTCTATATCTTTTCTGTTTTCAGCCTTTTCCCAATACATTGTTAGTCATCATTAAATATTTTCTATGAATATTTATGCATATAAATATTTCTGAGTAATTTTTTTCTCAAAACAAAACAGTACTGTTAGAATTAATTTAAATAATATAACAATCAAAATAGGGATGTGGCGCTTTGTGTTAATTTTGAGATACTGTTTACATGTAAAATGAGAGTGGAATAAATTGAATTTTATTAAGCAATGGCGTAAAATAGTTAAGGATCACACTCTCTGATAATTAAGCTCAATTTCATATTTAGACAGAAAAGAAAATGTGTCTGGAAATTTATCATACAAAGAATTTCAACATCTTCTGCTCCAAAAATGCAGCTTGTTCTTTATATTTCCCTGAGACACTTTCACCATAGCCTCCTTCTGACTTTCATTTTTGTTTTGCATGGTTGTCTCTCTGAATGTCATTATTATAAACTTCTTGGGGGCAGAAACTGTGCTTTGGACATTTTTGTGTCTCCCGCAATATCTTGACCTCAGAACCACTGAGTATGTATTTGCTGTTTGCACTTAAAAAGTATTTGCTTTTAAGTACATATAAAACAATATGCTTATCAAATTTGCAGATGACTGGGAAGGATGAGGAAAAGTAGCTAATAAGTTGAATGTCATAATCAGAATTTTAAAAGATCTCAAAAGGCTGGAAAATGTATAAAAGAAAAGTAAATAATAAAACTGAATTCAAAAAACACTGAAATTAATAATATGTTAGATGTGTTTAGCAGTGAATTATATACAGTTGGAGAAAGAATTATTGAACTGGAAGATAGTTTAGAGGAAATCATCCAAAATGAAGCACAGGGAAAGAAAGGATGGAAAATGCTGATGAAGCATGTGAGGACACACTAGGAAAGTCATACCCACTTATTATGGAGTAATATAAAGAAAGAAGAAAGAATGAGTCAGAAACAGTATTTAAACACATAATTGCTGAGAGTTTTTCAGAAATAAAGATACCAAACCACAGATTCTGGAAGGGTAGCAAATTCCAAGCAGGATATACAAATAAACTCATAACTGGACACATTGTAGTGAAACTGCACCATAATTAATCAAATACAAGGAGAAAAGTCTTAAAAGCCGCCTAGGAAAGTAGATTAACACTAAAGACCCAGAGTTTATATTTTTAATTATAGCGTGAATAATTTTTAAAATTATTATTATTTGACATGTTAGCCAAATTTTCAACTTACTTTGGAGTCATAAGAGGTTTTCTTCTTAAGTTGGAGGTGTAATTTGAAGGGCTGTTAAACAAAAGAGGGAGATTCAATTTGTTCTATTTAGCTCCAAGGGAGTGGACCAAATATCAGTATATGGAAGGTCAAAAACAAACAGATCTCTGCTTAATGTAAGGAAGACATACCAGATGTTATGGATTGTTAAAAACCAGGGATATGTTACCTTAGTTGATAAATGAGTTCTCTAACATCACAGGATTTGATTAAAAGGCAGATATATAAGTTCATCTAACAAATATTTATTAAGCATCTGTTATGTACCAGGCATAATTATAAATACAAGAACAACTATAACGAAAGAGACAAAAATCCCTTCTACAGAGAGTGTGTATTGTAGTGCAGGGAGAGCAGGATAATGATAAGTCAATCATGCACTGTGTTAGAAGATGGTAAAAAATGGAGCAGGGTAAAAGCATAAGGAGTACTGGAGGGGGAAGGTTTTCAGCTTAAAATGTGATGGTAAGTGTAAGCTTCATTGCCAAGTGTTGTTCAGTCAAAGACCTTGGGGAGGAAAGAGACTGAGCTATGAGGATCTAAGCAGTTAAAGGGAATACATTGGTGGGAGTCCCTCCCAACTCTATTATTTAGTCCTATAACATGTTTTATAACAAGTTTGGAATTTTAGCAAATGAAATTCTATTGATTATTATGAAATAGTAGAAACCAAGATGATTTTACATTGTTTTTATTAATGAAAGCTGTTCACCCCTACTATAACATCACAGAAACTTTGCACTTGAAAAACATTTCTTTTAAAAATGTCAAATTTCAGGAAGGATTTTGTACCTTCTGTTGGTGTCTCAGAATTTGGAGATTAGAGCAGATAATTAGTATAAGTTTGTTAGAGAGCTGGGCTGTCACATTACGAAAAAGATGTAAGGAATCTTCACAGAGCATTCAGAAGTAGAATTGTAGGTTTGCTCTTCAGAATCATATTGCTTTTTGAAAAAAAGAAAAGCCAACAAACACCCAGCTGCTTTGATTCAAAAAAATAATGTTTGTCTCTGATGTTGAATTCTGCAGTGCCAGGCATCTGAAGTATAGAGGGCTTTGACATGTGCAGAATGAAAAGCCAAGAATATCTTCACAGTTAACTTGTAGTCTTGTTTTACAGGCACACAAAAAGTCCCTTTGGACCATTGAGCCCAGTGAAGGCATGGTTCCCCCAGAAAGTGATGTCAAACTGACACTGACCGCCAACCTGAACGACATACTGACATTCAAAGACACAGTTGTTTTGGACATTGAAAATAGCAACACCTACCGAATTCCTGTCCAGGCTTCAGGAGTTGGCTCTACCATTGTTTCAGATAAGCCCTTTGCACCAGAACTCAATTTGGGAGCACACTTTAGGTAAAGAAATATCATGGGCCAATTTTTATACATATCATATATATTGCATAAGCTGAGCACCACTTCTACTTCGAAAAATTATTTTTAAGTAAATAGAACTAACCTCCTCATCTTCACTTTCCCTCCTCCAGATGGTTCATCAGCCACAAGGAGACATTTTCGAGTCTTAGTTTGGTCACATACTGCAAGCTGTATCTCTCTGCACTAGAGAAGAGATGGTTCATAGGAAGGGTGTCCTCTAAAACTTAGAGTGGATTCTCTGTGACAGATTTAGAATCTCAACCACGATTTCTCTTCTTTGATTTCAATACATTGCTAACTTCTTTCCATGAATGTAGAAAATAAAGGTGCAACCTAATGATAACATACATAGAATATAACTAGGAAAGTAAAAATATACTGTGAATGTATCTTTTCAGGTATTGCAAAGCCAGTGATTTTTTTCCTGTATCATGTCCTCTGCTTGCCTCCTTACCATAGCACCAACAATTGAAATGATTGTGGTTGGCTTCACTGATCACTCAGGAAAAGCTAGAGAGCCTAGATATTTAAATATTTGAATAACACCTCTGAGCAGAATGATGTAAATGTAACTCTTAAAATGTGTGGGGTTTGAATACTAACCATGGAATTTGGTTCATGCTTCCTCATAAGAGTCACACGTTGTCACTAGTTGACTCTCATGAGCCAGCTGAATTGGTACCTGTTTGTTTCTATACTGTGAACAGATCTCAAAGGGATGCTCCTGCCTTCTGGTCTGATGCCCTGAAACCGAGATGGACACACTGTTAAGAGAAGGTGTACCTGACAAAATAATATTAGGAGCCGTCTCCTCCTGTCCATTAACTATAAGCCAGGGCATTTTGTCATTGCGTAGCATGCCTCTGTTTCCAGATTTCTTTGTTAAGTGCATTCAAATATAATTATAGAAAACAATATACTGCAAACCAGACTTAATTACATGTTCTTCTTAATTTACAAATAGTGTCAAATACCTGAGAAATCTGTATGCAGGTCAAGAAGCAAAAGTTAGAACCAGACATGGAACAACAGACTGGTTCCAAATTGGGAAAGGAGTACATCAAGGCTGTATATTGTCACCCTACTAATTTAACTTATATGCAGAGTACATCATGAGAAATGTCAGACTGGATGAAGCACAAGCTGGAATCAATATTACTGCGAGAAATATCAATAACCTCAGATACACAGATGACCCCACCCTTATGGCAGAAAACAAAGAGGAACTAAAGAGCCTCTTAATGAAAGTGAAAGAGAAGAGTGAAAAAGTTAGCTTAAAACTCAACATTCAAAAGACTAAGATCATGGCATCCAGTCCCATCACTTCATGGCAAATAGATGGGGGAAACAATGGAAACCATGACAGACTTTATTTTCTTGGGCTCCAAAATCACTGCAGATAGTGACTGCAGCCATGAAGTTAAAAGACGCTTGCTCCTTGGAAGATAAACTATGACCAACCTAGACAGCATGTTAAAAAGCAGAGACATTACTTGACTGACAAAGGTCTGTCTAGTCAAAGCTATGGTTTTTCCAGTAGTTATGTATAGATGTGAGAGTTGGACTGTTAAAGAAAGCTGAGCACTGAAGAATTGATGCTATTGAATCATGGTGTTGGAGAAGATTCTTGAGAGCCCCTTGGACTGCAAAGAGATCCAACCAGTCCATCCTAAAGGAAATCAGTCCTGAATATTAGATAAAAGTGGTTGTACCTGACAACTGGCACTCATTTTTTATTAAGGCTTATTATTAGATATGACATCTTTCCAAAGAAGGGACAGATGAGATGAAAACTCAAAGTCCCTCAAAATTAAAAATAAATTTAAAAAGTCTTGAGATGAGTTTTTCCCTGAAAAGAATATTTTAAAGTAAGCTTATAATCAATAAAAAATAACCACTCAAAAACACATATAAACCACCTCCAAGATCTTATAAATCCCTGTAGCTCGCAAAGAACCAGACAATAAAGAGGTACTTTATTTGTGGAACAGATGAATGAAGAAGTGAATGAAATAGTAGCATCTTTAAAGCACATGAGTCTAAGACAAATGACCAGTCTGGCTGGTGTTCTAATCTATTACAATTTCCTTGACTGTAAGGTTTAGAGGATGTTTTGTTTCTCTTTGAAGTTCCCTTCAAATTGAGTCCATCGCAAGGCATTTTACTGGTCACTAGAAGGTTATGAGTCCATCACAAGGCATTTTACTGGTCACTAGAAGGTTACTCAATACAATTTGAAATAAGCTTCTCCTCCAGGAGGTATTTTATTTTCCCTCCTCAGAACCGTTTCTTGCAAATGAAAGTGGTTTTCACATGATCTGTATCTTTGTGTCCTGTGGTGGCTTCTCCTCATGAGAAACACTGAGGATGCAGGAGCCACTTCCCCACAACCCCTTCCCTGGTGATGGTAACTCAGGGACCCTATGAGTAGATGACCCTATGAGTAATGCTACATTGTCCTATTACTGTAGCAGCTCCTAATAGCATCACTGTTTAGCCTTTCTACATTACCAAAAAAAAACTACTGATGTCTGTTTTTTTGCTCACTTTTTAAGTACTTCCAGAGGGATAAATCCCAAGGGTGTAGAGCTGAACAGAGCAACCCCCAGGGAAGTCCTATGAATCCCTCACTCCTCTTTTCCAGCCTGGACACCTATTACTACCACTTCAAATTGACCAACAAGGGACGTCGGGCCCAACAGTTACTCTGGATGAATGAAGATTTCTGTCCCCAGGAAAAGTTGAACAAGAAGAAACTGGCCAAGAAGGATCGTGCGAAGAGCCAGCCCCAGGTTCAGTGCTATCAGGCACCCAGGGAGCCTCACAGCCCTGTATTTCAGCTCCACCCCGTCAGGATGGAGCTGTCCCCAGGCCAGACGATCGATGTGATACTCGAAGGCTATTCTACCACTCCCAGGGTAAGAGGATGCCATGTTTAGAAGCTTTATTCTCCTAAATAAACCTTTGCTCTGTTTCTTAGGTGAGTCTCTTGACATTTATCTGGAGGAAGGCTATAGTTTCTCAAGGATTGCATACAGCACTGTGTTACCATGGCAGCACCCATTCCATTCAAGGGTCAGCACTGTGGAGTTTTCTGTTTGTTTCTACAGCTGCCGTGAACCCAATCTTAAAAGACCATTTAAAGCAGGTTCTCATCCCCAGAGTTAACAAAGCCAGTGGGTCTCTGGTGGAGGGACAACCAACATTCAGGCAAAGCTAGGCCCCTTATTAATACTTAGCAGTATTCACTTAATATTTGTTTTTTAAAATGTTTTTATAGTCCATCTTGACTGACTCTCCTATCCAGGTATTGGAATGTCTTCACTTCCTTTTCTCTCAGCCTGAGTTGAAAGATTCATATTTATAATCATCACCTTTTTATGTATGGATAAAAGAGCTGCATTTATCTTCAACTCTGACGTTCTGCTGTTATTCACATTATCACCATTCTGCTAAAGACGTTTAGGCAGATCCAACCATGCGTCTGTTTAGTCTTATCACCTCATGGAGGTTAGAAACCATCAAAAACATAAAAATCTGAAATCATTTATAAGCCTCTTCACAAAGACAGACTTTGTAAATGAGAAACGGTGGTTACCTGAGCTTCTGCTCATGTTACCAAATTGGGATGTGATGCTGAACTTTCTCCTCATGAAAAAGGAAACAGTAATAAGTTGTCTCCTAGCAGATGAGATGGGAAATCTGGTCCACTGCTTAGCTCCTCTGGGGTCACAAAGTCACTTTGTTTCACTTAAATTGTTTCTTCACAGAATATTTTCAGGTAAAACACATCCTCAATTTTAAAAAGACAGTTATTTCCCATGGTGGAGTGTATAATGTGTTCTTTCTCTCTCTTATTGAGGGGTTCAGCCAACTTTCACTGAGTATGTACACACGACAAACACTACAGTTTGTGGTGCCCTGAGGATGCAAAGATGAATAGAATGCAGCCCCTCAGCTTGATACTGATGGTCCATTCCAGGAACATTTTTACAATGCCATTATCAGGAGTTGACTGTTTTTAAAGCCGTTAAATCTGAGCTGCTGGGGTTCTAAATTCAGCTGTAGCCTTACTAAAAGCTTCACTGAATGTTCTTCCAAGTTCTGCTACATAAGTGAGATGCGTCTTGAATTCATTAACATCTGAAACCTTAGCCAGTCTTCAATGAAGGCTATTCATGATATAAATTCACTTTGGGTCCTTTCTACTTCATAAAAATCTAGGCTTATTGGGTCCAAAGAAGTATTTGTTACCGTATATGATTTTTAAATATTCAAATAGGAAAGGTAAAATTGCTCTAGCCAGTTTCCAGCTAGCTTGGTAGGAAACCGTATAACTGCCGTTGAGCTCTAAGCCTGTGAAGATATTTTTTTAACTGAAGTGTAGTTGGTTTACAATGTTGTGTCAGCCTCAGGTGTCCAGCACAGTGATAGCCCGTGAAGGATTTTTATCTGCCTTGTCCATCACTCTTTTGTGTATCCAGTCCCTAACAGCCCCAGTGCGTGATAGATCTTCCATAAACACACTGGATGAACTGGATGTAAATTGATTGTGCCCTCAGGGACAGTCAGAAGTAGACACAGGATCCACCCTGGCCATATCTAACCAATCAGACTTTAACTGTGACAGAGACCCCTCCCTGACATGCACTGCTCAGAAAACCATGCTCTTCCCTGGTGTCCCCAGGCAAGTAGTTGAGAATGTTTGCTGATGGTTGAGAATTACGTTTTCTGAACTATGGAGGGTCAATGCTGGTATATCTTGTCCTCAGGTAGTCAAAGAAAAGCTGGTGTGCCACACCATCATTGGGATGCAAAAGGGGAAGAGCCTGGTGATGACTGTGAACATCATCTGTGAGTTTGTAGCACCATTCATCCAGCTCTCCACCAAGCAGCTCATATACCGACTGGAGAAGGTCAGTGAGACTGTGCAGTGGAGGGCCGGGCACTCTCCAGCCAGGGGCCCACATGTTCACACTTTCATTTAGGAAGCTAAATCAATGGGAATCCTGTTAGACCCACACCCCACCAATGTTTTTCAACTTCAGAGGCCAGTACACATTCAACTAAAAATTCCTAATCTAAGCCTACATTCCTTTGAAAGGTGAATTGCCACGGAAATTCTATTTCCATCATTTCTGTTGTATAAGACCAAAATGAAGGGCTATTCCGTGCACTGAAAATGCATTTCAGTCCATCATTTACTCTACATAGGTAAAATTGACATCATAGTACAGGAGTGGTTGGAGAAGAATCTTTGATAATTACAGTAACCAGTTAGAATAGCTACCCGTTATTGATTGGTATGTACTGGGCATTGAGCCACGTTCATTACACACATTGCCCAGTTGTCCCTCACGACAGTCTATGTGGGAAGGTCTGATATCTTTCCTGTGATATGCAGGAGGAAACTGAGAGACAAGTTAAGCTATTTTGTAGATCACCTAATACTGCTTGAAAATCATTGACTTAAACTATTTGATTCACATTCTTTAATTCATGTGCTTATACCTGTATATGACCTTATGTGCCTTTAAGGGTGGGCAGTAAGTGGGGGAGGCCCAGGACAAGGAAGAGATGGTATGATTGCTGCTCAGGGCAGGGGGCAGGCATGGTTGCGAGGAGAGGGAGATATCACAGCAGGACTCAGCCTACTCCTAGGCAGGTTTCCAGCAGAAAATTATTTACTATTCAAAACAGGTATGTGTGGAACATCTCTGAGTTGAGGGCTGTGTTGGTGCTGAAAATCTGACATAGTCAAAGCTGAAACACTGGTTGAGGTTACAGACTGTAAACAAACTATGAAAATTTAATTGTTTAAATGGCAGTCCTAAACAGTATTATGAAGAAAAGATACAAGATGCAGTGAGAGCATGTGTCAGGAGGCATGACCTTATTTGTGCATGAGGTCATAGATGACTTCCTTGAGCAAAAACCTCAAGTTGGGACTTGAAAAACAGCAGTCTGGTGATGAGAGAGGGGGAGAGAATTGTAAGGAACAGCACATGCAAAGGGCCTGAGTCAGGAAAGAGCTTGGTCAACATAAAAAAGCTGGAAGTCCACCTTAGAGATTATGCCAAGAATGACAGTGAAGTCCATCTGGAGAAGTGAGGAGGGGCCAGATGTGTGTGGCATGACTGGGACATGTGTTGTGAACTTTGGGTTTTGCTCTGGGTGACCACTGGAGGGTTTTGGGGAAGGGAGTGCCATGGTCAGATGTATTCACTGAAGCAGGCTGCTGAGTGGAATATGTATCCAGACCTACTGTGTGCCAGGCCCTGTGTTAGGTCGTAGAGATACAACAGTGAGTAGTCCCTTCCTGATGAACCTCACAGTCAACAGGGAAGACCAGGCCTTAAGGAAGCTCCCATAGGTATGTTCTGTGCTGTCATACAGAAGGTCTGGGTGTGGCAGTGCCTCCCCAGGGCGAGAGGGCACCAACTGGGATTCCTTTTATTAACAGAGGCTTGAAGGAGAGTGTTCAGAATCATTTGTCCTAGTAACATGTTCTGTAAGATTGTTCATATTAAATAAATACCTGTTGAACACCTACCATGGATAAGGCGCTCTGCCAGGAGATGAATAAGAGAGCTTATTGGCTAGTATACGTGATGAGATGTATTAACACAATTCAATTCCAGTCAACAAATAATGTTACAGCACTTACTGTGTTTTTAGTCAGTAGAGACAAGCAAAAACTCTAACATTTCATAGACTGGTGGAGAATGAAGAAGTAGGATTGTGTTTTCAGTTACAGGATGCTAAACTGACTTGGTATCAGGAGATACCTGAAGTAACAGGCAGGTTTGGCCTTGGAGTACAAAAGGAAGCAGGGAAAAGGCTAACAGAGTTTTGCCAAGAGAATGCAGTGTTCATAGCAAACACCCTCTTCCAACAACACAAGAGACGATGCTAAATGTGGACATCACCAGATGGTCAATACCGAAATCAGATTGATTATATTCTTTGCAGCCGGAGATGGTAGAGCTCTATACAGTCAGCAAAAACAAGACTGGGCACTGACTGTGGCTCAGATCATAAACTCCTTATAGCCAAATTCAGACTTAAATTGAAGAAAGTAGGGAAAACTACTAGACCATTCAGGTATGACCTAAATCAAATCCCTAATGATTATATGGTAAAAGTGACAAATAGAGTCAAGGGATTAGGTCTGACAGACAGAGTGCCTGAAGAACTGTGGGCAGAGGTTCATGACATTGTACAGGAGGCTGTGATTAAAACTATCCCCATGAAAAAGAAATGCAAAAAGGCAAAATGGTGTCTGAGGAGGCCTTACAAATAGCTGAGAAAAGAAGTGAAAGGCAAAGGAGAAAAGGAAACATACACCCATTTGAATGCAAACTTCCGAAGAATAGCAATGAGAGATAAGAATGCCTCCCTAAGTGATCAATGCAAAGAAATAGAGGAAAACGAAAGATTAGAAAGACTAGAGATCTCTTCAAGAAAATTAGAGATACCAAGCAAGGGAACATTTCATGCAAAGATGGGCACAATAAAGGACAGAAATGNAGTGACGCGGAATAGCGACGCGAAGAGCGACGCGGAGCCACGGGCGATGGCGGCCTCCACGGGCGATGGCGGCCTCCACGGCCTCGCAGCGGCCTATGGAGGGGATCCTGAGGAGCAAGAGCTCTACGACCTCCTCTGTGGTGGCCTTGGCTGAACATCCCGGCAAGTGTTGACAGAGCTGAGTAAAAGGTCCCAGAAGTGGGATGAAATGAACATCCTGGCGACCTCATCCAGCAGGCGAAGCCTATGGTTTAGTGAAGATAGACTGCCGAGTACGCCTTCCCACAGTATGGTGGGTGATGAGGAGGATGTACTGAGTGATTCGGAAACCGGGGAAGCCCTGAGCCTAGATATCTTAGCTCTGAAACGAGCTGGTACTGCCGCTGCTGAAAGCTCAGAACCAAAGTATCAAGTTAGTGAACCAGAAAGCAGTGGAGATGAGGATCCTGACCTCTCACCTTAAGAAGGAGAGAAAAAAAAGGGACAGTTTGAAATGAAAAGGAAGCTTCATTACAGTGAAGGACTGACTGTTAAATTAGCCAGACAGTTAATCTCAAAAGACCGAAATATGAGGAGGGGATTGAAGAAATGTCAGAGACTGCGGCTAGAGAAAGCATGGATATGGAAGAATCTAGTCAAGGATCTGCTACAAGTGACCAAGTGCAAAACAAATCAGAGTTCATAGAAGAGATTTTTTTCAACACAGTAATTGTCAAATACAAACTCTATTACTTTAACATACTGCTTCTTGTTCTCTACAATCATGACTTAAGTACCAAAATACATACCAGTTGCTATATATTGCCAAGAGTTAAATAACTTAAGAGACTAATTAGACTGAAAATGCCCAACTGATACATATATTCTTGTGTAGTACTTCAACACAAATACAGCATAATGTCATCCAAAACTACGTTACTGTTGTAAGACTACTGGTTGATTTGTATAACATATATAGCTTTTCATGCTTTAGAAATTAATGTCTTTTGGGAAGGGAGAGGGGATCTAATTTATTTTCTTCATTTCTAGATGTCACAGCTCTTATAAAAGGTTGAGTTTTTTAAAAAAATCAAAATTCAATTAGAACAACAGATCATATAGGCTGGTAGATATATTCAGTCTGAAAAGTATTTTAACACATGTCTTCAACTTGTCTGTTTAATTGAAAAAGATTACATTATGAGTTACTGTTGCATTTTCTGGCATACTACCTTTAAAATTCTTGTTGAGTTTCTTTTATGTTTAGAAGGAAAGGATTAAACTTTTTTCTCGTCAAAACTAGCTTTTTTCCATAAATAATTTATCAGATTAAATTTGCCGAAAACAAAAGAAAAAGAATATTGAAGAGGGTTGCCATTTCTTCTTCAGGGATCTTCCCGACCCAGGAATCGAACCTGTCTCCTTCATTGGCAGGTGGATTGTTTACCACTAAGCCCTTCAATGAGAGGGCTTATATTGCCTAAATTAAATTGTTGCATGTGCACTAGGTCATCTTTATTTTAATAAATATTTTATTTGATGCTAATTATGAAATGTCTCAAACATAAGGTCAACCAGCTTGTACAATTTGTAACTACTATTCTTTACATAGACTTTTTACTGGAATAAAGCTGTACTGATTATGGTACCTTGTATATGACTAAGATTCTGCAACTATGCTGTTTGTTAATCTATTTGTTTGTTTTTTATGAGTACAATAAAAGTTGACATTATATTTTTCACCTAACCACCTTGAATCAGGATCATGCAACTCTTCAATTCTGCCTTAAAATGGTCATGCTGCCATTCCACACAGTACTGATGACAACATGCAGCTAGGTCTTATACAGCAGGAAACAGTAGATATCCTACATAGTTCAAAACATCCACACCGGATGGTTGGACATAAGCCTTGCAAAACCAAGAGTGCTACCTCACTGACGTGTTCAGGGATTCTAATAGTTTGTATCACTTTGTGATAGTCTTTTCAAGTACAAAGACAAGTTTTTGTTGCTCATGATGGTTTAGTTGCTAAGTTGTGTCTGACTCTTGTGACTCCATGGACTGTGGCCTGCCAGGCTCCTCTGCCCACGGGATTCTCCAGGCAAGAATACTGGAGTGGGTTGCCATTTCCTTCTCCAGGGGATCTTTCCAACCCAGGAATCGAACCTGGGTAACTTCCCTGGCAGGCAGATTCTTTACCAACTTGAGTTATGAGGGAAGCCCTACTTGTTGCTCATATCCTCTTCAATTAAAACACAAGCCACACTTCCCAGGCCTTGATGTATACTCGGTGGTTATTGGAGAACACCTATTTATCAAGGAACTCATAAACCTATCATCGTTGAGTGTCACCCAGAGCCTGAGAAGATTTTCTACCTGATTCAGTCTTCTTTGTGGGGAAGTCTAGCTCTCTGTTTTTATGACCCAGATGATTCAGTGATACTTGTTGAGTCTGTGAAAATCAAGATACTCCATGGAGACTGCTTAAAAGCCTGAAAAAGAATCCCACCCTTACTTAAAAAAAAAAAAATGTCCTTTTGGCAAATGCTTGTCTCATGTTAAGTAACTACTTTCAGTTTGCTGCTGGGTAGCAATCGATCTGAAAAATTGACCCAGTACTCCGTGTGACCAAAATACCTGAGCTCCTATTCAAAAATAAATACCAACAGATCCATGTTAATATTTGCATATACTCAGCTGCATTTCAGCATATAATGGAAGAAAACATGTGTGTCAGTTTGATTAGAGTAGTCACTGGGAGTTCAGTTAGGTTGCTAATGCTGGTGTTTAGCATGTCTAATGCACCTGATTCTGCTCCCTACCACTTCTTTTTTTTACGGGAAACTATTAGAGACCAGTTAATTCAGATTTGTAAGTATTGCTACATGCCTCATTGTGGGGAAATTAACAGCATGGTGCCAGTCAGGCATGCTCACCCCACGCTCTCACACCCTCTCACCCCATGTTCTGTAAACGATGACTTTGCATGGTTGTGTAATGACCGAGATCACCTATTGCAGTGCACATGCGCGTCATGA